TTTTTTTTTTTTTGCCATCTTTGTGCTTCATTGAAGTTTTGAGTTGAATTAAGATAGGCAAGTTACGAAGATTAAAATGACTAAACCCAAGAACATAGAATATTCTATAGATTTACTGTAACTTTTTTGATGATGATCATGCTGTTGTTTTTGTTGTCGGTGTTGTCATTGTTGTTGCTGTTGACGTTGATGATGATGATGACGACGACGACGATAATGATGATGATAATGGTGACTTAAGGTCAATCTAGATGGTTAACGGGTTAACCAATATATGTACCATACAGCTAGTTAGTGATGTCCATGGCACTTGCCACTTAAACATCAGTGAACACTACTGAATTATTCAGTTAAAATTTCCTGTCCATAATGCTTGCGGAACTGCTTCTGAGCAAAAAGGCAAAAAAAAGAGAGCAGAAATAAAAGACAGAAGGAAAAATGCAGAAAAAAAGAATCACAGACGTATCATGTTTCTTGACAATCATCAACAATGAGTGTTATTCGATTAAACAACTGTTTTTTTTCTTCCTACTATCTGATCTTGAAAAAAAAAAAAAACGAAAAGAAGGTTGGTGCGTTTCTTTTGAATGATCTCATCCCATTATCAACATTACGGTTAGACGATCCTCATTGTACTTTCACCCTCCTCCCTCTCCCCACTGAAATGAACAAATCAATCAATTGTCTAATTCGTTCGGCAACTAACCAGTTACCCGATCAACTAGCTGGTTAACTGACCCACTAAAAATTATCACTTAAAATTCAATTTTTTACGTCAAAAAGAATATCATAAATGTATTTACAGAGTATGTAAATATTTTATTGCTTATAATTTGTCAAAAAAAGCAAGAAAAAAAAAGAATAAAACCAGCAAAAAACTATTATAAAGTCTAACCTATCACCAACAGTTCTACAGATGCTGTTGATGCTTTCAAAGAGAATAACGGATCTGTCTCCAGGCGACATTGGTAGACGCCAGAATCCTGAGGTAGTGCGACAGCAATTTGCAACTTATAGAACGGCTTAAGTACCTGAAATCGACGGTCGGAAATCCACCACTGTTTTGATGGATCGCTATAGACTTCCTGCAAAAAAAAAAAAAAAAAAAAAAAAAAAAAAAAAAAAGTAAGCAATCATTGAAATTATAGAAAATATGCTGAACAAGTAGCTTAACAATTAACGACTGAAGTATTAAATATTCTATCAATAAGGAATCCTCTGAAGTACTTTCCTTCCGCCTCTATATATATTTTTCTTTATAAAATGGTCAAAAAAATTAAGATTAAAAAAAAAAA